TACTGATCCAACCCTAGTTAGCTTTTCTTTTGATTTTAAGTTTGTATTCAGTAAAACTAAAAAGGTAGAGCTGAAGATAGCTGTGGTTTCTTTTTTATCTTGTTAAGTGAATAAACCTAGGAGGATCTATTGCCATACAGATTTAATAAAACCATAGGCCAGCACTTTGAAAATAGACCTTACCTTTCCTCTGTAGATAACTCTTTGTATTCAATGGTTTCTTGGCCTGTTTTTGTGCTTTGCCTAGTATCCTTTTCCCTCATCTGTTTCTAATACCAAATTCAGAGCTATTGTGAGTTTTTTGTTCAGACAGACTGTTTCTGTAGAAAATAGATTCAATGTTTAGAAACTCCATTAGAAATTCATATGTTGTTGTTCAGTTGCTCAGTCATNTCACCATCTGCAGTGATTTTGAAGCCCCCCCAAAATAAAGTCTCTTTATGTTTCCATTGTTTCCCCATCTGTTTGCCATGAAGCAATCAGACAGGATGCCATGATCTTCGTTTTTTGATTGTTGAGTTTTAAACCAGCTTTTTAACTCTCCTCTTTCACCTTTATCAAGAAAATAGTATAAATAAATTCAAAAAGCAAATGGAAAAACAAAGAAAATATTTGCATCCATTACAAAGAACTTATTTACATAATAAGCAAAGGGCATCTACAAATCCAAAAGGAAAATCCTGTAAGAAAGTGGGCAAAGTATATTAACAGGATAATTGGGGGGTGCGGGAGGGTGGAGTGCTCAACTTCACTCAAAATGAAAGAAATGAAAGTCTAGCCAAGAATGAAATGCTTTTTAACCTATCAACATGGACAAAAACCAAAGTTAAAATTATCTAGTGTCCATAAGTGTGTATGGAAATCTGTATAGGAGGGTGTGCAAATATGGGCAACCTTATTTGGAAGATAATTTGGCTATCCTGTTAAATTTTAGTGCACATACACTTTTTTACTTCTAGGAATTTACTTTATGTGTATTTATTGCCATATTGTTTACAGTAATAAAAATGGAAATAATTCAAAGATTCACCAATAAATGACCAGTTAAATTCAACACACACCACTAATCTTGCTGGGAAAATCCCATGGACAGAGCCCATGGAGTTGCGAAGAGTTGGACACAACTGAGTTGAGTGACTGAGCACACATGCAAATTACATGTAGATGTACAGTGAAATGCTTTGAAGTTGTTATGAGTAATGTAATAGTTCTGTTTAGGCTCATATGGAAATATATCCAATGGTAGTTTTTTATGTTCTTTTTCTTAAGTGAAAACCTACTGAACAACAGTATAACTGTGTGTTTATAACCACATTTATGTTTTCTTAATTATATATAACAGGTTTGAAACTTATATTTGAGAGTAGCTGAAATCAGAACCAAAATTATCTTCCCTGTTTAGATTTGGTAAATGACAAAATGGCCTAAATTTATTCCCAGTTCTTAGCCATAACCAGAGATATCCTAGTGTGATGGGGCTACTGAAAATACCCCACTTTTATATCTCTACTGTGAGCACAATTCTGTAGAGCTAAATTGTTCACTTTCCTTTTACTAGGCTCTTGGGCATCCTATAGTCCAGCTCCTCGCTTTCTGGGTCCTACTCCCAATGATGGAGCAGGCTCACACACAGCTCAGTCAAAAGCTATTTCAGTCTGAATATTGTCTGTAATGCTCACACTGGAAAAAAAAGGCTCCCACTATATTCCTGACTCCACTATACCCTTAAGATGTTTTGTATGAAGACAAAATACATGTCAAAAGTTCTTCAGCTTTTCAAAATGTGGCAAGAAGGAGAACTCAAAAAACTCTGTCACCTAAAAACCACTACAATATTGTAAAGTAATTAGCCTCCAACTAATAAAAATAAATGAAAAAAAGTGAAAAAAAAAGTATCTCAATATTGCAAAAATAAATAAATAGTGATCACTCTCTGTTAATTTCCCCTTGATAGTTCTTCTGTTACTCTACCAGTATTTACTTGTGTATCTTTAATATACAACGCACTATAGAGGTGGCTAGATAAATAACACATAACTGTGCACTTGAAGAACTTAGAGTTTTGCAATTAAGTTAACAAGAACTAGCTGTCAAGTGCTATCCTAAAAATTTTACGGGAAATAACTGATTTAATCCTTACAACAACCCTATGAAATAAGTACTATTATTATTCCCATTGGCCAAAAGGAAAACTGAGGCCAAGAGAGGACAAGTAATAGCCCCCAAAGTTGGACTGTTAGTAAGTGGCAAATCCAAGAAGTCTGCCTGCATCCGCGCCTCAACTGTTGTGCTCCATGTCTTCTCAGTATGAAAGGGCTGCATTGAACAGCAGCAAGTGTTAAATGCCCTTGAATGGTATGAAGTACAACAGGAATTCAGACCAAAAGCTTTTCTGGATAGAATGTTTATGGAGGGGGAGTGGTCAAGGAAGATTTTGATAGATGAAATTGGGGTAACAGATTGAAAGCACCATGCAGGTGAAAGCTTTCAATATTTAGAAAGGTAGTGCATAGCATGTGTCTACTTACGTTATTTTACTTTCATTAAGTTGTTTTTCCTATCTTCACAAGCAAAATTTCAGCTGCAAATATAAGGTCTATATGTGAACTAGGCTTAGTTTGTTTTTTAGGAAACACGATCATCAAACTCATAAGGATAAGATATGGATGTTTCATTGTTTCCCTTTTATTGAAGCTTCTTAATAGAATGTTGTCAATATAGAATATCATATAATATGATAAATAGGACATATTATGTATACACAGATTAGATGGGGCAGAAGCAGAGTTATTCATATATTCATATTCTATGTTTCATAACTGTAAGTTATCATAGATATTATATACACATATATATTTCATTTAGTTCATTGCCTTCATTTCCCAGATAGGAAGGCCCACTTGGAAAAGGTCAATCATGTGTCCTACCTAAATTCATACAGTGAATTAACTGGCACAACTTTTACCTGAACTCAGGACTCCAAACTTCAAATCTGCTACTCTTTGCTCAGCATTGTTACCCCCTTAGTTTGGGAGATATTTCTCTTTTTCTTTTTAACAAAGCACCAGGAGACCTCAAATAAGAAAAGGTTCTCCAGCCACCAGAGGAAGGAATAAAAGCAGGGCACGTGGGATATCAACCTTATTTGATGCAAAATCCTTGGCCCTTTATTCTCCCATTTTTCCCCTTGAGACCATTTTCTCCACTGCATCCTGAAGGGTAAACAAGGAAGTATCAAGAGAATTGGAATCAGAGTCAACTGACAGCTGATGTTCAGATGTTTCCATTTTTAGCCATGCAACAAATCTGGTTGATCTGCACTAAAATGTCATTTAACTTTTGTTCATTAGGGCTTGGTAACTGTAGAGGGAAAAAAAAGAAAGAAACTAAAAATACCCGTGTGCTGTTCAGTCTGTAGGAAGATGCAGCTAAGCCAATTTTGTGCTGGGTTCCTTAAGCAAGTGCTTTTGTGTTAAATTTCCAGGAGGATTTGTGTCATCAGCCCTTTGAGGTCTTGCTCATAGTATTTAGCAAGTGGTCTAGTTGTTGCAGACAGTGAGTAGTAGAGCGGCCTTGGGAGGTATGTGCTCCCAAGCTGAATTTTTGTTCTCAGGAATGTGCTAATTAGTCAATTTAGGGGTTCAATTCCTAGGTTGGGAAGTTCCCCTGGAGAAGGAAGTGGCAACCCACTCCAGTATTCTTGCCTGGAGAATCCCATGGACAGAGGAGCCTGGCAGGCTACAGTTTGTGGCATCACGAGTCGGACACGACTTAGCGCTGTCTTTGGAAAACATACATTAGTTACTCTTAGTTTATTATTTTGCAACCCACTGAGAATCCAGAACAGCCAACCCTTATATTTTGTGCTTCAAGGAATATTGCTATGAAAAGGCTGCTCTGCCAAGTTACAGGCACTGAGGAATTACCAAGTCATGTTCCCTGAAAAGTGGGGTGGGATCCATCTAAGCCTCTCACCAACCAGTTACTCCCTGCCCAACCGATAACAACTGGACCTAGAAACCTAACTTGATCCAAGGAAAATAAGTCTGGAAGATCTCACTTGAGGATCTGTAAATGCTGTTTTAGGGAAAGAGCAAAAGGGGGCGGAGGCAGGTTCTTCTGAGACCTGGATTTGAAATGATATCCTGCCTGAGGCATCTAGCCTTTAACTAGCTTGTTAATAAGCTACCATTCCAGAGACATGACTCACCACTAAATTTATCTAGAATAGGTAGAATAGCCAAATTGGTAGAAAACCTATTATAATGAAATTTCTTCAACTTCTTTTGAAGATAGGCGATGGAGATATATAATCTATATGACATAAATATAGATATAGATGACTCTATCTAATTGATCATTTTCTTGGCTGACAAAAAAAGAAGAGAGGGAAATGTGGGAATCTCTTCAGTAAATCACATTAGGTGTGTTGAGTGACACACTGGCATTGGTCTCAGTTCCCCTTTAAAAGAAAACAAGTACGTTAGCCTCTAAAAAATGTACTTCTTTTAGGTCAAAAGTAGCTAATTTTGTGAGAATAAGACACATATTTCTAGAAATTAATAAAAAAACTTTTTAAAGGAGGGTGAGAGGAATCCATTTCTTGTTTGGTCTCAGAAGATATATTATTAGTATAATTAGTATAACAACAACAAACGTTTCTTGAGGATTTACTGAGTGCTAAGTATTGTTACAGGCACTTAACATGGATTGACTCATTTAACCCTTTAACTCCTATAGCAGTTATCTAGGCTGAAACAGAATGATGAGGGATACATCCAGCAAAGGGGATGCTTATTTTAAGGACCTGTTCAACTGAAGGAGCAATGAGACATGCTATAGCTGGTGCAGAGTGCTGTCTGATGCTATGCATAAATCTGAATATGCAACCTGAGTTGCCATCACGTGTAAATTTACAAATTGGGCGATCAGTCTGCTTTAATAAAATGTGTATGTGACGGTTGGGTTGTAGAAATTTCAAAGATTTTATTTTTTGACAGGATGCCTGCCGTTTTTCTCTCTTGACTCCCGCTTGTTTTATTCATTTTGGGGTAGTTGCCAATTAGACCCAATTGGTAAGTATAATTAATGGACAACACAAATCTCCTCTTAAACCCCAACCAAGAAAATTAACCATAGAAATAATACTTTCCTTTACAAATTCCTAACACTATCCCTCCCTGTGACTGCTGTTTATCTCTATCTCTTCTAAAACATCCAACCATATCAGAGATTAATTACTCTCTATTATTTATCATCCTAATAACACCATATTAGATGGAGAAGAGAGAAGTGAGCATTTATTGAGGTCCTAGTATGTTCCAGACACTGTGCTAGCATTTTCATGTATACTGTCTCTTTTAATAGTCACAAAAACCCTTCAAAGTAGGAATTATTATCTACCTTCTTTATAGTTGATGAAATGGCATCTTAGGGTAGTTAAGCCCTTGTTTTATTATCCACTTAGTGGCACAGCCAGGTACAAACCTGGGCTGATGGGATTCCAAAATTGTTGCTCTTTTTGTCCCATATAAGGAAGCATTATTTCATTCAAAAGGACACTTGTCTAAAATGTTGTTACCTTGGAGGGTTTAGGGGTCATTATTTCACTCAACAACTGTTTGAACATGAAATCTCTGTCAGGTGTGGGTTGAGCATTGATTCAGTTGGGGTTAAGCATTGGCAGAACTTTTGGGTGGAGGGATTGTAGTTAGTGGCAAGATGGTAGGGGAATTCCCAGGAACAGGATCAGGAAGAAGTAGGATGGGGTGGTGGCATGGGCGGCAGGGGTGAAGACAAATTGAGGAGCTCCTGGTCGTGTGCCCATGGCTACAGTCTCTTCATGTGACTCGTGGACTTCCCTTTGTCATCCTATGCCTGAGAATATATGAAGGAGGCTGGGAAGGCAAAGGGACGTTCAATTGTCATCATCGGCATCTTTTTTGATCATTGCACCATCATCCAATGCATTGGGGGTAACCATGACATGAATTTTCCATCACTGAGCTCATAACTATTCCATGATATAAATAACAAGTAAAAGGTTATAGCAGAACTTCATCCAGGGAGTCCTGAAAGTAGGAAGCAGCGAATTTAGATTCTCATAGACTGATAGCCCTGGATTCAAATCAAGTGACCTGAAAAGTATGTTAAACTTCCTCTGAGCAGCTTACATATACATCAGGAACATTTCGTTGTCTTCTTTGGGTGCTCTAAAATGTTCAGCCTCATCACTGAAAATTGTTACCACTGCTAGACTCAACCATTCAAGTAGAAGACCATCCAAAATACCTGATCAGTTAACAGTGGACTGTAATAACTTGCCATTTTCTAGATGCTGTCAACTGAATGTTGTTTGAAGTTTTCTTTGCCTTCTAAAGAATTTTCCCTTCAAAGAATAGGTTGTGTGAAGAAGACAGTTACACTTTAGACATCTGCCCTCTCTTCATCTTATAAAATGACAGAAGTTGGCTGTGATACTGAACTGTTTGCCATGCTTCTTAATGAGAAGTAATTTTATCCATCAAGATAATCATGGAGTTAAAAGAATAATATTGAGGGAATAGAACAAATTTTAGTGAAACCCATTTCTTGGTATTTGCCTGTCTTATTTATCTGACTTATTTTCCAGTTTGAGCTAGGAGCACGGTCTTTTTTAGGAAAGAACCCCATTCCACATTGGAACTCTCTATTCTGGGACTGGGACAGTTCTGTCAACAAATGAGTCTGAACCGAGGAACTGACCACCATTCTAATAAGATCTACTAGTTCTTTTACATGTAGGAAAGGATGTTGAGATCACCTTTCAGATTAGAAAGATTTGGGTTGCAAATATTTGACTGACATTTTGGTCTCAGAGTCAGCAATATTTTCTTTTACTGGCAAAACTAACAGCTTCCTTTGATGAAAACATAAACCTCCCTGATGGAACTCAGTCTTTTCCTCCTTTCACTGCTAATTGAAATACCTTCCATATCTTTTCATCTGTTTTTCTAGCTTTCTTCTCCTTCCTAATGCCTGTGGACCTGTCCCACCCATTCCAAGCTACTTGCAGTTTCTCGTAAATGACATACCCTGTTGGATGTGTCTTTGTCCCATTTTGACATTTGTGGAAATTCCAGCCTTTCCCAACTCTACTTACTGGCAAAATTCTACACTCTTAAATCTCAGCTTGAAAATCTGCTTTTCTCTGAAATCCTATCAGAACCCACCCCCCCAACCCAACACACACACACACACACACACACACACACAAGTGATTGTCTTAGACTCAGTTGTTCACCACATAACCCACAGTTCCCACAGCACTCCATAAACCTGTGTTGTAGCACAGCCTCCTTGATAGAGTGGTTGTCTGTCTGTGTGTACCACTTCCCCATCACCTGTAGATTGTGAGCTCCCTGTGAGCAGAGCCTGAGTCATCCTCACCTTTGTCATCATGCAAAGCTAGCACAGTGCCTGGCACATGTAGGTAGGCAGGTGATCAATAAATTATTATAAACATCAATATTTGATTTTCTGGCCTTATTTTTAACTCCCATTTTCAGCCTGTTGTAAAAATGTAATAGACATGTTTAGAGACTACAAGCTATATAGAAAGGACACATAATAAAAAAAAATAATACCTAAACTCAGGGAGGATAAATAAATAGAAATGTGTAGAGGCAGAGACCATCATGCATACTTCCAATTATCATGGGCATAAAAGCATTTATCCTGGAAATTTGACTGTGTTTCTGTTGACTCGTGCTTGTGGTTAAATCATTCCTATCTTGTGGATCTAGATAGTCTAAGGATATACATATTTGTGGCAACCAGTGCCAACATGGCTTCATTATTTCAACTTACATAGAAACAGAAATAAGTATTGAGTTTTCCCCACTTATCTAAAATGATAATTGCCCATGGCTGCTTTTCAGTCTAGATTAGGATCAACCATTCAGTAGAAATGTGTAATTAACTTTAGAAAGTTAGACAAACATAAAATAGATAGGAAAACTTGTGCTGACTGAGTACTTTTCTGCCATAATCAACAATTTTACAGTGGGATATAATTGGAGAAAATAAGATATCTCACCTGGGGGTCTTTTAAAAAGGCAGGCTGAGATTTTAATTCACTGGTAATGGATCAGGCTAGAGAACTTGTCATAGGACCTTTCAAAGCCCGTTCCCAGGATTTAAAATAATTTACCCACCCTTTCAAAATAGTGTTTGAATCATTTCAAGCCATTTAGACTAGTAAATATAAGTCTATATTTCATATAGACTTGGAAAATGACTAGAAATAGTACTCCCAAGATGTCAGTAATAAAACTGTTGTAAGTTTGAACAGAATAAAATGAATCTTTTAACTTAAGCTCATAGCTGAAGATCATTAACCCCTGAAAAATATGAGAAAAATAGAGATGTTATGCCCTCATTTTGGCCAAATAAGCAAGCAGCTTTTTTTGGTTTTTTGGCATCTGTCGTTGAGGCAAACAAGCGCTCTCCCCTCACTGAACAGGCTGTGCCTGTTCTGCAGGGAGGCCAGATTTCACAAGCCGTGCAGTCCCACATGCCACAGCCCTGCAGGCAAACACTCGAGTCCTAAATCCCAGGCAGAGGAGTCAACAGTTCTTCTTGGCTAATGAGCCTTGGCATCTCTGGGTTCACATGGGGTTCTCTGGCCAATTCCTGGTTGGAATGAGGCAGGTGCACCTTTGCTAAAACAGTAGATTGAAAGTCAGCTTTCAAGATTGAAGATTGAAAAGTCAGCTTTTCCGGCCATCAGACAAATCTGAGCTGAGCCCTTCCTCATTAGCAGCATTTCTTTCACCCAAAAGGAGAACACAGGAAGTGAATATTGACTCTGGTGCACATCAGAATGTAATACGAAATCATGGGGGAGTTTGGGGAGAAGTGGAAAGTCCACTTCACCCTGTGTGTCCTTCTATCCTGTTTTCTTGGTGTGCGTGGAACAGGGTTTGTTTTGTTCTGTTTATTTATTTCCATTTTCGAGTAATAAGAACTATTGTTGGGTATGTGATTATTGTTCATAAAGTTGGGTATGTAGGGGATGTCACATAATAGTTTTCCTTAATTCAAATAAATCCAAGTCCCCTTTCCACCTAGTTTTGGTAAATTTAATCTATTACGTCTCCTACACTCTCTCTCTTTCCCTTCCCTCCACCTCCCTCCTTGCCTCCCCTTCCCTCTCCCTCTCCTCTCTCTCCCCTCTCTCCTCTTACCTCTTGCCTCTCCCCGTCTCTTCTCCTGCTTCCTCTCTCTCTCTCCCTCCCCCATCTTCCTCTCTCTCCCCCTCCATCTCTCCCTCTTTCTTCTCTCCCCTCCACACCCCACTCTCCTCTCTCTCTCCCCCTACCCCTCCTCTCTCATGCTTATGGTGTACCAGGAGAGTTGAATAAGAGCCTCTTAACCTCCCTCAGCCAAGATGACCAGTGAGAACAGTGACTGTCCAAACCTGCCTGGTCCCAGGTGGAAGGCTCTGGTGCTCCCTGTCTGAAGAAAGCCAGCAGCATCTTTGCTGAAGCTGGCATCCCCACGCCCCGGGCTCTGCCAACCCAGACTCAGCTCCCCGAGGCACACTTCACAGCAGCCCTCTCAGACCAGAGGTCTGTGCCAATCCTGCCCTTATGGAGCTTACATTTGGGTGGAAGGTGACAGAAAACAAATAAAGTACATAGTGTATTTCATAGTGAAATGTATTGGGCAGAGAGAGAGAGAGAAAGCAAAAAAAGCAGAAAGAGGAGTGCAGGGAAGAGGCTGCAATTGTCAGTAGAATGAGAGGAAGACGCCCTGAAAAGGAGACATCTGAGTAAAGACTTGGAGGAAGTGGGGGAGAAGGCCATGTGATGTCTTAGGGGAAACCATTTCCAGCTGGGGAATCGGCAATAAAGAGGCACGGAGGTGGGGATGTGAGCAGCACATTTGAGGAGCATCAGGAAGACTGTGTGGTCACATGGATGAAAAAGGAGGAGAGGAGTTGGAGAGGAAACCAGAGAGGGAAGAAGGGCCAGAGAGGACAGAAAGACCTATGGCTTTCACATTCACTCTGTGGCAAATGGAACTTGTAGAG